TTCTTGATAAATATGGTAATTATAAAAAGTGTTTATGCTTGAATATCTAGACTAAAAGCTTGCGAATGAATAAATAGTAATAATAATTTATTATACAAATAAAGTGGGTTATCAACAGTTTTACGGAGTGCTCTTGATGGTTTTTTATTATTTCTTTCGGTTACTCAAATGCACTTAGAAACTTAAAAACTCTATTGATTTGATCAAAAAGCAGTCCCAGATTGTAACGCCTGCAATAACATTTGTGGTCTTAAATACTCCAAACATGTGACTGGTTTTATACTTCAATGATCAGTAAATAAGCTGTACCAGGTAATCCAAATCTGTCAATGTAAAGAACACATACGATTGTCACGGTATTCTTCTTTCATTTTCTTATTCAAGAATAAGCACTCTATGCACAACTGCAGTAATGCTGTCAGCAGTCAATCGCTGTAGTAAATTACCAGCAACTACAAGAGTGGTCTCCGGAATTGGCATCGCATGCACAAAACCTTTATCTTTGACTTCAATGTCCAATCCATCGACGTCTTTGAAATATAAATGATACTGTTCCATAATCCGAATGCTCCCAAGTCGAGTTTGACAAGGTTCTAAATGTTTTGTCGTGACTAGATGATAATATAGCGATCTAGAAATTATTAGTTTTGACCAAGCTAAGGAAAGAGCTTCAATAATACGGTATCCAAATATTTGTAGGCCTATTTTGCTCACATCTATGATAGAAAAATGTATACTCATTTTGTCAGGTTATAACTATGTGGAATTAAAACAATTTGCCATAAATACGTAAACTACATACTGAAACTTAAAAATAAAAATACAGTCACTCTGCATTCAAAATATATTATAATGATATGCGTTGTTTAGTTGTATATAGATAGATCCCATTGAGTAGAAGTGCAGTGCATAAGAACCGTAACTCTGCCTTGCCTAATTTTGTAGTAATTTCCCTTTTTCATTTTTACATTTTCAACTGTCTGGGACATAACACTGAAACTACAAGAGGTATTAACTAGAAAACTTTGTATATAGATAGATCCCATTGAGGAAAAGTGCAGTGCATAAGAACCGTAACTCTTCCTTGCCTAATTTTGGAGTTATTATCCTTTTTTATTTTTACACTTTGAACCTTGTCCGGGACATAACCCCGAAACTACAAGAGGAATCAACAAGAACTTAGTAGGTAGATAGATTACATTGAGTAGAAGTGCAGTGCAAAAGGAACCGTAGCTCTGTCTTTTCTAATTTTGGATTGACCCTCATAATGCTATATGGACCTTGATTATAGTATATTGACATTGATAACAGTATATTGACCTTGATAAATATTGACATTGATATTATATTGAACTTAATATACATAGACCTTGATAATAATAGAATCTGCATTTAAACTTTATATATTGATTTTGATAATAATACATTGACCTTGTTAAGTCAGTGGAATAAAAACGAATATTTCTATACTCAGTAAATTTTCCGATTTGTATTGTAAGAAATGGCGTTTTTTTTTTGTACAATTTGTCGTCTGACTAGGTAGTAAATACGTAAGTTTTCTGAAACAAAAAGTCCGTTATATATTGAGCTCAACAAAACCTTGATAAGTTAAAGATAATTTGTCATAACTGAAGATTATTCCTACATTCCTTAATTTGTTAGGTTGTCAGGCAAACTGATTCCCTTGGATTATACAATGTTATATCTGAGAAATGTAGCTCATCACGTATTCCGTGTAACTCATAGTGTTTTAAAAGTTCCTTTCACGGAAACAGATTGTCATTGTTTACCCGTTTCTTTTGGTGGTCTGATGGCTTGTGATTTAAAAACTTCTTGAAGTCCTAAGTTTGGACTTTCCTGTTAAATATTCATAAAATGTAGGCACGCTACTAAGTATTTATCTTCGTATTAAATGTCATAGTTTGTGAAATAACATTTACTTGATGTTTACTGACGCTATTTTTATGAGCTCTGCTATCAATTCGATTGACTTTTCGCTCGGCTTCCTTTGTAGGATTATTGTACTATATGTTGCTTATATCAAATGTATAGATAATGGAGAAATCATTTGTTAATTCAAAATTGTTTATGAAACTATGTTTGTTCAATTATTTTGTAAATAATGTGTAAGCAATTGAATAGAATGACAATTGAAATCTTTTTGTTGGTAAATTGTCAGATGGTAGCAAGAAAATGGCGAGAGAATACTTCTTTTACCCACAACAATCACAAGCAATATTAGGGTAATATAAACATTCTCATACAAAGTTTGCAATAATATTTTTACTTCATTGCAGCAGTTACAGTATGCTGGATTTTAAAAGCAATCGTTGAACATAGAAGCAAAACGTATTTATACTTTTACGCTTGTTTAATTGGAAAAATAAAAGTTTTGATAGGGTATAAATAATAGATTCTCAGTATAATAAGGTTTACGGTATTTGTTTAGGATAACTAAGCCTATTGTTGTGCTTTATTCATAATTGTCTTTTATTTCTTTGTGTATGATTGAACTGGTAGGTTAAGTTTTATGACGGATGAGTGATTGTTATGAAAGTTATTTATAGTTATTTTGTTTCTGACGTTGCCAAATGAAAAAGACTATCTATCGCAGATTTGGTCCTGAGGCCTTATATGTTTTCAAAGTAAATGAACACTCCTCTTATTGCTTTCGAAATAATAAAATCACTTAATGATATCAATAATATTGGTTATTTCTTTATAGAAATACTAAAACTGATATGTAGGTTTATATATGCATCGATATCGGTACAAATATGAACCTTTAATGTCGACTAACGCGTTAAAACTGAACATGTTACAGGCGCGGCCAAATCGTACACATCCCGTAGAAATTGCTTATATATAACGATATAAGTCAAAAATTGTACACTCGGTTTGAATAAACCAGTTTTGCCCAGTAACAAAATACAGTTAACAAAAATCGAAAGAATAGGATAGAATTATATGAATTCTTGAATAATATTATTTTGAGTCCATGAATAAAATAAAAGATAACTTGCTTGTAAATGATTTTTACTGACGTAACGAAAATGTTAAATTGCCCACATAATGATCTATAGGTTAATCTAGTAAAGGTAATTATAAACTATAATTTTCACAGTAGCCGGAATATATCTGAAAGCGGATGAAAAGAATATGCTATAAATAAATGAAAATATTGATTGAAAAAAAAACAGTCAGATTTCGGGTTGTTCTTAATTAGGAGCAACGTGGAGTCAGAGACATAGATAACATGTTATTTATGTCTCTGGTGGAATCGATGAAGTTATTTAAAATGTTTATTTTTTCTTAATTTCTTCGCTGACTTATTATTCGTAGGCACGTGTAATGTTATCCAGATAGGCATTACGGTTTAATGAATGGTTAAATAAACACGTTTGATGACAGTTTAAGCGAAATAGACAGTCAGTAAGGCCATCTCGTGGAAAAAAGTAGGACAAAGTCTTGATAATACCATAAATGCTTAAACTTAGAAAGCAGATTATTTAAAAAATGTAAATTAGAATAAGAAAATTCTTCTTTACGTAATAGATGTAATGTATGGTTAACCCTAATGAAAACTGTATTCATAATCTACAGATAGTAACTAGGTTTTTTTTAAACACAATATCCATTAAATTATCTCCTTGCAATTACATGGAAGTGACATTTTGCTGAATTTTAGGTACATGTAGATAAGTAAATGCCAGCATAAGCAGAAAATTTGCGATGATATCTTTTTTCTAAAATAAATTTCTAGTGTTTGATCCACCTACTTATAATCCTGTATCTAATGTGGATCTAAAATATAAATGTTTAGGTATGCTAACCAACCTAATCATCAGAAATATTACTGTCAAATACATTGAAATCTTTAATGAATAAATGCATTAAAATTGGCGAAGCCATCAATTATACGCTAGATGTAGACAATATATTGTATACCAGTTGACAGTTGTAATTATAAATCATATAGAGAAGAAGGGTGTCTTAAAGAAGTCCAAAACGGCAAAATTGAAAAAGAATGCAGGCTTGATGATCGGTATTGGAAAGTACAAGTTAACGACTACGCATTCGACATTTAACGTTTAAATCAAGTTTGCCAAAAAGCGACATTCGTTAAAACGATGCCATTTTAATCCGATGCATTGTGTTGACAACCTTGACCTATAGAACTTGATAAGTGATTTCTTCCGTTTATATTTAAACAATGCTTTGAAAAACATGCTGATTTTAGTTTTCCAATAATGCTATGAAACAAAATTATTCTTTAACCAATACAATACAGGTATGGCGTGCAGGTGATGTGTCATAGGCGTTTATTATACTGCTACGGAACAAACATATGTTTCACTCTCATTGATTTTCTACGTACAGTCATTTGTGTTATTGTGAACAATATGGAAAAGGTCTTTTTATTGATAAATACATGGATTTACATATTTGTATCAGGTATTTCATGCCATAACTTTTTTCAATATTTTTCATGTACAAGTATTTGTTTAAAGATTACCAAGTTACCCATGTAATTTAATAAAGAAAAAGCCAAGTGCTACAAGTGTTGTCAGTATCATACGGTGGCTTTACTTTGTTTACTTATTTAAAACATAAAATAGAACAAAAATGAAGTTCCTAATATATGTAGCTCTTATCTAAATAATTCAAACTTAATGTTGAGCGTAAAAATGAGCAAAAGTTTTGTATGTAAGTGAAACATTCAAATATTAACAAACAAATGATCAGATTTCTGCAACACATTATCTTTTTGAAGACAATGATGCGTTTGAGCTATTTACAGGAATACTAAATTGATACTTTATAAATTGTTTTAAAAAACTTGCCCTTATTTGAATGAAAGTATAAACAGCTTTTTAAAAAAAAGTAATTTTTGTCTCCATAAACTCGACAATATTAATCAAGTGTCTCTTTTGTTGACACCAGGTTACAGAAGCATTTTAATTGTTATGTTATAAAATATGAAAAAAGAAGTAAAAGTATTAACTGGTTGTGTGATATTTTATTTAGAAGCTGAATATACATGTCTTCCAAATTAACAAACAATTCTGTTTGTGAAACATAAATAATCTGATTAAATCAAGCCCGTTTAAGAACAATATTATAAAACCGTATTGGTTACTATGGTAACATTGCGTGCTTCGTGTTGATTACAATTTGATGTTTTGTTGGTTGTTTAATAAAACCAAAGATAATATACATGTATACTGAATGTATAATTTTATAGCAGCTGAATTTTGACCTTCAAATAACAAGAAGTGAAGCATGTAAATAATGTTTTTATCATATATACATCTATAACAGTACATATTAATTACAAATGGATCATTAGAAAATGTTTGCCGCTTATTGTTGTATAAGTCGTTTTCAAAATATTTCTCAATCACACTTAAAAAGTATATTAAAATCAAGGTTTCTGTCGTAAATTTCTTAAAAAATACTTTTTGTCTACTTAAAAGATAAGTCATCAAGAAGATATCTAATTCTTTTCACTTAGTGTGTCCTCAAGCTTTGGCATTACGTATTCTCTACACGTGATTGGTTCATACCTCTTTGAACCGTCAATTGGTGTGATCACACTGTCAAAGTCTGGAACTATGAAGTATACAGCTGACTGGCGAGCTTTGGTTTGTTTTGCTGGATCTTCTGTTTGAAGAATTCTATGCTGTACAGAAACAATTGAGTCACTAGTCCAGCGTTGAAGTAAGTTAGCAGCAATCAACAAAATTGTACCAGGTATGGGAGTTGCCGGTATGTAACCTTTACCCGGGAAAAATACATCCAAACCACCGACTTCATCTTGGAACATAAGTGTCATTGTTCCGAAATCCGAATGCTCTCCTAAACGAACCTGGTTTGGTTTAATGTTCTTTTCTGGTGACATTTGTGGATACATCAAAGTTTTGAGTGTTGTCGGATTGTTCTTTGTTCCAATCAACTTATGCGCCTCCCTTAAAAACAGTTGATGTTTGCCAAGTGCAAGTGAAAGGGCGTCCAATAAGCGACATCCTAGCACTGTACAATGAGCAAACATTTCATTCAAGCTTTGTTGGAATTTTTTATCTGCCATATCACCAGGATCGTCCCCTGGTTGATAGGTAAACGCCTCCTTTAGATCTGCTGGTCTTTTGAAATTAACAACTTCCTTTTCCATCGGCGTGTAACCGAAATCCGTTGTTGGGCCACGCACGTACTGACATTTCATTTCCACCGGCTGCTCAAAGAACGATTTAGCTACTGTCATATAATTGTCCATGAATGCATCGTCAATACCATGATTTTTAAAGTAACATACCCCATATTGACAGAAAGTGGTTTTCAATGATGAAGAAACAGTTTGTAATGCAGCGATGTGTACTTCATTGGGGTTTCTATGCACACCTATTCTATCCAAATCAACAATAGGAATAGGAGAGCACACATCCGACATTCTGTATAAAGAAAAATAACCCCAATCAATCAGTCTTTTAAAATCTAGTTGAAGCTTTATTTGAACACTACACAATTAAATATATAAAAGGTATTGCAAAAGATCATACTTAATATATCTTATGTAAACATTTAGTCTGTGTCTATTTTTTTCTTCGTTTTAAGACGTGATATATTTTAATAGATAATGCATCATTCAGTTTATGAAACGAGGATGAACTAGTACATACCTGATATATCCTGTAGCTTTCCGTGTGAAATATCTCGTGTTGTTATCTTGCTTGTGTCCTTGTAACTTATCAGACAATCTTACATTAACGCCCTTAATCACATGGTAAGACATGGCCAATAGTTGAGTATTTACTATAAGTTATTTAGTTTGTTGACGAGATACACGGGAAAATACATCTAGGACGACTTCTGTATGATCATAGGCTCTAAACACTTCATATACAAAATGTAATTCGTTTTGAGAGGGTGTTGTACCGTATGTCTATATGGTAAAAAGGGCTTTTATCTTTTAATACACGGTTTGTGCTCAAGAGCAAAAGTTAAATTGTGTTTCATCATTTTATGATATGTGTTCTGGTATCGCAACTTTAGGAAACGGAATTTTTTATGTTAAGTTCACTTGAAATTATTAGCTTTATAAAGTCAGATTTTGTTTCTCTCATGAGCTCAAGAAATATTGTAGAGCGCCTGATTTAAACTCGACCTTAAGGTAGTGAACTCTCATTGGAAATACAATGCATATATGTCACGTAAAATGAAAAAGAACTTTTGTTGATCTGTAAAAAGGCCCTTAATATTCAGCTATAGATAAGAAGCTTAACAGACTGATTCAAACATTTTCAGATTTAATCAAACAATTGCTTAACTATAAAACAAAAAATAATAAGGCCCGGAATGACGCGTGAACACAAACATCCCTGATAAGCATAAACAAATATTCAAGACAGGTTGTACGTTATTTGTATAAGACGGAAAAGTCGATATTTCTTGATTTTCTCAGAGGCAAGTAACTTAAAAGTAACTATAGAGACTGATTAGAGTGGTAAGATAAATTGCTCGATAAATAAACACTATTTAATTATTATTATTATCATCATCATCATCATCATCATCATCATCATCATCATCATCATCGTCATCATCATCATTATTATTAGTAGTAGTATTATTATTTTTATTATTATTATTTTTTATTATTATCATCATCATCATCATCATCATCATCATCATCATCATTATTATTAAGGAAAACCTCAATTTTCAGGCTGTATTTGAGTAGCAATATATTGACCGATAAATAAACATGATTTAGGAATTATTATAATCATTATCATTATAATAATTTCATTTCTCAGACTGTATTTGAATAGCCATTTTCGTTTAACATTAATTTATTTTTTCTTTCAATTTCTTAGAATTCCCAGTACATATCAATTATATAGATATTAAAATATAAAATTTGAAATAACGTGAAAGAATACGGAAGTTTTTGTCTGGGACGGGGCCATCTTATAAATCCAGAATTTCTTGTGTCACTCGTAAACTTAATACACATAATAATCAATTAAATTTGTTTTCATTTTTCAGACATTAATATAGCTGAATGATGACCTATTAATTACGTTTGTCAATATCTCAATTTCCCTCCCTTCAAAGAAGAAGAAGAAAAAAAATAAGGATAATAAAATAAAACAAAAAAAAAAACACAGACTATATTCAATCTGAATCTTCAAATGATCACAATTTGTACATGATTTCTACAATCAGCATATAGTTGACATAATAAAATGAACGGCCCTCGAAATATTTCGAACTACAAATGTATTTTAACAAGTCGTACTTTTAAACGTTACGCATGTATTGCGGATGTGTCAGTTTGCTGAATAATGTATGGAGTTATGGTCGAATTATTTTATAATAATAATAATTAACTATTCCACCATTTAAGTTGCGAAGAGTATATTAGTTTACAATATTGTTAATCAATTGTAATCTAATTCAAATGCGTACGAGCAAATTAACTTGACCATGTATATCACAGGTGTAACGACACTGTGCTATTAATTTCAATTGTCCTCGATATAAGTATCTTAACCTTGACATACTTATGAGCCGCTAGTGTGAAGTTAATGTTATAATTATATTCACGATATTAGCAACACATGTACGAATAGAGATATGAAATTTTATTTAATACCAACATATAGATAATCATATATCGTATATTATACATTATGGATAAGTTTGTCATACATTAGTCTTAAATAAATTGTCAACATGCGCTCCTTTTATGCTACACTGACAAGGCCAAGTGGTTGACATTTATCATGGTAAAATAATACCATGAGTATTGCCTATAATATTACACAAGCGAACATAAGCATATGCTGATTTGCATTCTATAAAACAATAGCCTATTTATATATTTTCTAGCTACATGAATGCAATAGTAACGAATAAGCGATTAAAATGAGTATTCCTTAAATAAGGCATCATGAGCTTTGTATTAAGTAGACTAAATCAACTAAATAAAATTGAAGAACGAACTTATTCATGTACACGCAATAAATTCTTGCACACTGAATGTACATACATGTATACATTATATGACTATTTATCCTTAAAACGACGGACACAATTGCAAATATTTCCGTATGAACCCCCAACTCAAAGTGGTTTTTACTATTCAGAATGAGTACTAAGCAGAAAGAAAATAGAAAAGATAGTATTGATTCGTAGAAGTGTTCCTTGCATGTCAAAAAAACATATCATTGACCCCATCACATCATCTATTATGCAATGTATATATTTCATTGTTAAGGCCATTAGTATGGAATCTACGAAAGCCAAAAAGTGCCAGCTTTGCGGTATTCTATTATTACGCAGGATATAAAGATAACTGTCACGAAAATAACGGCATAATTATACAGCGTCAACATAAACCAAAAATATGTTTCATGGTTAGAGAAATTCCGGTACATTAATTTACGTTAGATTAGCAGATTGCACCTTCGATGTATACGCTGCTGAGGAATAAGTCTAGCTGCAAAGAAGAGACAGGGCAACTCCGGTACATATGACGTACATAGCATGTGCAATAGGAAGAACACCAAAACACGAGGCTATCTGATTTGTACGAGATAAAATCAGATTTCCAAATGTTTTGATGTTCTTTCTCTTTTGTATTATATGCAAAAATAGAAAAAAAAACACTTTCCTTGTCGTCACAATATGAAACCCAAGAATAAATGAATGTACGAGCATTTAAATAAGATTTTTGTCATTATCTTTTTACCTGTTGTCATAATAAGTAAACCCCAGAATATAATTTGACCAATCAACGAGCATGCTCCATGTTTATCCACGACGGACAGTGCGATAACTGGAGTGCGGATAACTAATACCTGCTCTCTAGTTAACGTACTGTGCATGTATAGGCATGCGATTTAACCTAGACACATTTTCAGTAAAAGGGTCTCCAAACTATGATACACTATATAGATAATAGGCAAGCTAACATATAAATTGAGGCTAAATGATAACTGTTATCATAAGAGCAAATTGTAAATGAAGATAACAACCGATGTGTACAAGTTACCTTAGGATAATATATCTTCGTACAGCCGTCACCGTTCTGTTACTTAAAGTGACATTATGCCCATCCAAGGGTATAATGAGTGAAAAAGTGATGTCAAAATAAGTTTTAATTGCTGCCATAATTCCTTTTAATATAAACATTTATTTCACTTTAACAATAAACAACACATGGATTCAAACGAAATTTTCATAAATATCTACCAGAATTTACCTGTACAACGTTAATTTCATAAAAAGAGTGGGGCAGTCTTTTTATATTTTAGGCAAAATTAATTTTTATCCTAAATATCAATATCAACTGTTGGTCAATCACCATTTTAACAGTCAATGTTTTGAAATATTTAGTCAGTCAGTCAGTCAGTCAGTCCAGCTCAACTAGACTATGAAAATATGAGCAAAATGTCACTTTAAGTAAAGGTAGTACATGTACTATTTTAATACAGACATTGCATTTTTATGAATACAAAGATTTTGTCTTCCTGCTTAGCTTAATGGATTTGTAATCCACGGGTTCCTTTGGTGATCCCTGACCTGCGCGAAATTATCTCGGAAATTGAGTCTATTAAGAAATCATTTGAAACTGAAAATTACTGGCTAGTTATTATGTGGACATTACGCCGAAATATGACAAACAAATATGTATTAAAATCCGTGTTAAAAAAGTATCAAATCAGCATAATGACTTGAAAAAATTATCATATAGGTTTTATAGACAATATATCTTATATGATTTTCTGACGCAATATTCAAATCTGACTTAAACTGTTGATTGCTTGATTTAATAGGTACCGTCCACAAAAAAAGGACATTGTGAAAAAACATTTTTCTTCGATAGACGAGTATATAAACAAACGCATTGATAAATATGTAAGTTGGTAATCCTAGTATGTTACGCCAGCGATGCCCTCCATTATTGGCTGTAAATATTCCAAACTTGTGATCGGTTTATACTTCGTTGATCCGTCCATTGGCTTAACCAGATAGTCATGATCCGGCAATAAAAAGAACACAGCCGATTGTCGAGCTTTCCTTTTCGTTTTTTCGTCATCAGGAATCATCACCCTATGTAACAATAAAGGTACGCTGTCGGCACTCCATCGCTGAAGTAAATTAGCAGCAATAACAAGAATGGTTCCTGGAATTGGCGTCGCCTGAATAAAGCCTTTATCTTTAACTTCAATCTCCAGTCCGCCGGCGTCATCTTGAAACAGAAATGATATTGTTCCGTAATCTGAATGCTCCCCTAGACGGAGTTTGATTAGTTCCCCCCT